GTGTCTACTACCTCAATGTTGGCCCAGTGTCCTAAATGTGAATTCATAGAGGAGAATTAGAGAGCAAGCATTCTCTGAAGGCAAGGAAAATGTTGTTCATTTCCATGGAAACACACACACACACACACACACACACACACACTCACATTTAAACTGTGCACACACACACACTCACATTTAAACTGTGCACACACACACACTCAATAATAAGGAGGTAAGTAGGTTAGTAAACAACAGAGCATCTGTCCAGGTTAGGAGAGGACTGTCTGTGTAAATTTGGACTGATTTGGGCAGACTAGCTGACTCTCCAGACCAGTGCCACTGAAGAATGTTGACACATGTCCATGAATTACCTGAGTTTAGAAAGGGCCTCTGTTCTGAAATGAGTTTGCTCATTAAGATGAGTGGTTAAATTCTAAATATCTCTCACAATTAATAAAGGAAGACCACTCAAAACTAATGACTTCTGAACTGCTAAGGTGGATTTAATGTTTTGAGCTTGAATATTAATGAGATCATCCAAATGGCTACAGCTTTCATGGGTATGGTGTGTTGTCACAGTTACATTTTGAACCTAAAGCATTAAACTAGTGTTGCTATGCAGAGAAGTGATCACCAGTTGATGGCGTTGAATTACTGTACGTGTCCTGATTTTAGCTTTCCCACTCTCACACTAATTGTAGCAGTTGCATTAATTGTTACTCACATCATTGAGAGTGATAATCCACAGTAGTACGCAACTGCAACATTGTTGTTAAAATATAGGCCTCGGCTGAGGACTGAGATCAGATTTACAATTTGTAAATGGACAATGTATTTGAGAAAAGAAAGGAGTGGGTCCCAACGTGATGATTACATTTCAGTTATGTGTAGAGTGTGTCTGAGTGCTTTGGTTGGAATATGGGGAAGCTTGAAGCCTTAGATTCAGATGATATTTTTACTGTATGCTCATAGGTGGATTTTGGTTCCTTTGGGCAGAGCAAGGCTTGCTTTCCCCCCTGTTTTTAATCTTTGTTCTAAGCTAATCTAAGCAGCTGCTGGCTGTAGCTTGATATTGTACAGACATGACAGTGGTATCAATCTTGTCATCTAACTCTTCAAAAGAAAGCGAATAAATATGTTTCCCAAAAAGTCAAACTTTTCCTTTTAAAGAGGGAAGAAACCTCCCATGTAAAGCTTAAAGGTTAATCAGTCCAATAAGTTTGTCCTAACACTTAATGTAGACAGAGTGAACAGATTAAGAATCTAAACAGTAGCAGCTTAGACTGATTGCTCGATTTGTTTAACTAGCTTTGGGATATACAGTAAGTATGAGTTAGTACTGATGATGGTGTGAGTGGCATTGAGCCCACAGAACTATCATACCAATCTGTCTGAGATGGGTACGCTTGCCTTTATGTGCTTGTGTGTCTCACAAGCCTATACAAGTAATAAATAGCCTACACCATATAGGTTATTGGGCATAGGGTACTTCTAAGGATCCTTGGATGGCCCTGCTATAAACTGTACATTGAAATGTATCAAGATTATACCGACAAGGCTTTGGGGCTTTTACTGATTTGACTGTGCTATAGACTCTGTAGATCTTTCTTGCCATGTATACCTATGGGAGGTAAAACTTCTAATGTTTAACAGAGTGTGACAGTGTAAATAAAAGCTGTCAGTTTTTATTCCAAGTTTTATTCTATAGCTTTATACTAAAGAATATTTCTTTCCTTTGTCCTATCTCCAACACTGCACGTGACTTTCTGTTGGTGAGCTGTGATCTGATTACTAAATACTAGGAATTATTAAATAAAGAAATCAGAGGCACTGATTCACAATTCCACCCAAAGGCATTGCCAGAGTATCCCGCTGAATTGTCCATCAGTGTCACTGGACTGATTTATTTATGTAATACTTGCTGGTACGGCAGTCTGGATACTCATCTCCTGGGGCCTTTTGCTCTCAAAAGCTGCATTTGTCCACATACACATACTTACACACACACACACTTTTCTGACATGTACGTTTCATAGCAGCTTGAAATATTTCTCCCACTGCATGAATCTTGTATGGGTTAAGCACTTTTAATTATTACAAAGTCCTCTGGTTCTCTTTTCCCTTCCTTCCCTCCCCCATCAGCATATCACCTCTCTGTGGTTGGCTGTTCATGCTCTAACAATTTCCATGCATTATTAAAGAGCTGACTATGATGAGTCATTTGCTGCCATTCTGTCTCACCTTTTCCTCCCTTAGTAGCACACTTCATAGCTCTGATGGTGATACCTGACCTCAGTAAGACCTCTTACTCTGGGTTGTCGATTGTTTTGGTTTGAAAAGTCTGTGGACAGTATGTATCCAGAAAGGGTTAAAAGGGAAAATGGGAGACAGCAGAAAATTAGCTCCTGTTCTTTGTTTTTTTTCTTTTAGAATAACTTTGCTGAAGTTGGTCTTTTTTTTGGCTGTTTTGATAAAATACATAATATATATATAAAAGAAAACTTTGAGCAGAAAAGCAATGTTTTCTGTACTGTATTTGAAAAGAGGGAAGCTATGACTAATTGCTGGACGTTGCAAAGTGACAGTTCGAAATTAAATTCAAATTCTGAAGGTTAAATTAAAGAATGCTGAATTAAAACTAAGCATTCTGACAATATGAGAAAAACACATGTTCACTCAGAAAGAGGCGTAATTGATGGGATGCCAGGATTCAGAAATATCCACGATGCCTGGCAGGTTTTCTTGGTCTTTGTACTTGCTCTCTGCCTGCTCGATAGCCTACCCTACAGCTGTCTCCTCCTTCCAGATCAGATTAGGAGGAACTAAAAAACCAAAGCTGCATCCCACTTGAAATTTTACTCTGCCAGCCCCTGTACCCATTTGAGAGAAGCTCTATGACAAACTGGGCATGATGGCCAGTGGATAGGCTACCGATGTGTCTCATTATCTTTTTAAACCTCAAGCTCTGGTGGCAACTTCTACAGGGAATACTGCCCAGTTCCCCTTCTATTGTTTTTAAGTGTCCTAAATACCAGTCTGTGTAGATATTTGAGGGAGACTAGTTGTCCTTTTCTGGGATGTGCTATTATTATCTTGTGCATACAGAAAGCTAGTTGCTGTCTTTTAAAAGGTATCCTTTGGTCCCGTAGCGTGATGACATACATCATCAGAGCAATGTTTGAAAATGTAGAAATATTCTAATTTGAGTGCAGTGAAATTTTCAAGGCAGCGTTTCAGCGCATGCCAGTGAGAGTTTAGGGTAGTGTAATCTTTAAAAAATGTCCTTGAAAGCGTGCGTGATGAGATATACCCAGACAGAGCCACGGCATAAAGACATGTGAATAACAGTTAGGATAATTGTACAGCATTAGCTGGCACCAAGTGTTCCCCTCTGTGTTGTCTGGTGTGCTGGTCGTGGCTGACAGGAAATGCGTGGCTGGTCATTAAAAGGGTCTCTAGAGAACACAGTTACTAAAGAGGAGGGTCCTGAGCCCATAAGTAAGCACTGGTTGACTATTGATCGCTCTCCTGTCATGCTTGTATGAAGACTAAATCCAACTTTAGTCTGATTGTTTTGTTGTTCCACCTCTATTGGGAATATCATGTTTATGTTCTACCTTCCTTTAATCTACCTACAGTGGGGTGGGGTTGACAGGCAAGCACCATGCATGCATATCATGATTTCTTGTTAGTTTGCTTATTCATATCTTTGTGGGGAATGTGGTGAAGATACAGATTATATAATGGAGACCTTCTGTAGTATCATGGCAAGAGCTTTGCTCAAAACATAACATGATGCTGTCCAGACCATTTAGTCATTTGAGAATAAGGCTGTCATTGATTCTGTGTAAGAGTTGGCAGATATAGATCATCCCAGTGGCCCTTGACAGAATTATAATGGATAGGATTTTAATGACTCCATTGTGACCTGATGTCCATATCCACATTTGAAATCATTTACACACATGCACACAAATATGGGACCTTTTCAAATGATCTATTTTTTTCTTTTTGAGATAGTTAGTTATTTTATGAAAGGATTACTGGGGTTTTTTCTTTCTTTTTTTTTTCCTTCTTTTTTTTAATCCTGCTGTTGCTCCGAATTATGCAGTTTCAGAAGCTGTCTGATGTGACTTAACAGATGATGAACTGTGAAGGGCCTTTGGTTCCAGACCCCAAAGGGTTTCTTTTTTTGGGGTTAGGGTGTGCTCACTGACAGGTCATGGTTATGCCACTCATTGTCAGGTTCAAACGCTTGTATCCTGAGGAAACTGACTTGGTGGTGGTCCCTATGTGTTTTCTATTTCACACTCTCTTTGAGTGTCTGCTCTTCTCTTTGATTTGTTGCCCTGGTATGTATCTCAGTGTCTGCTTGGGAAAAGCAGTAAATTAAGGCAAATGCCTTGAAGTTTCACTGCATTTAGCATTCTTACTTGCTGTGACACTTACTGCACTCTCAGAGAGCAGGCTTTGGTTTTCCCCTTCCTCTTTAAACCCCAAGCACCATCTGTTGTCATTTAGTGTCCAACATCCATGATGTAGAAGGGCTGCTGTCTCTGTCTGCCTCTCTCTTGCAATCTTTGTCACCCCCTGCCTGCTACTCTTTGGAGACTGACATGTGGCCTTCCTCTCTCAACTTACAAGCAACGTTATAATAGGAAGGAGATATGTTTTATCTTTTCTAACTTTTAAGATACTGAGAAAATGTATTTTGCCTGCAATTAAACTTCAGAAACCTGTCTCGCCCTGCTTTTTTCATTTGCCATGGAGTGGATCTAATCTGTGTGTGTGTGTGTGTGTGTGTGTGTTTGTGTTTAAGAGGATTGGAATTTTAGTTACTTAAAAAGTGTGGTAGGTGTGGTTAAGGGCTATGTATGACTTTTTAAGGTTATAAAGTATTTGAATGTTAATAAGAATTAGCTGCCTGAACAGCCAGACTTTTTTGTAGTTTATCGTAATTATTGTGAATCTTGAATTTAAAAGGTTCCCTCCTGTCTTTGTCTCTGTCTCCATCATAGATCATATAAAGCGCAAGTTTCGCCGGCGGCCATCTTGGGGGCGGGGCATCATCCGTAAGAAGAAGAACTACAAGAAAGGAACAGAAGAGGAGGAGGAGGAGGAGCCCGAGGCAGAAGTGGAAGCTGCAGGGCCCAGTGACTCGTGTTTGACGCAGGATGAGGAATCATCTTGTGATACCACAGGTCCCCAGCCCAATGGCCACCATCCCCATGTCTCCTCCACAGAGGAGGAGAGCTCCAATGAGCCCCCTGTTGAAGCTCCCGTCCAACCTTCAGATGCCAGTGAAGCCCTAGAAGAGCAAACACCTAAGGAGGAGCCAACAGCCAAAGATGCGGAGTCGGAGAACACAGAGACCCACAGTGAGCTGCGTTGCCTTGGTGGCAGTTCTCAACCCAAGGCAGACGGGGATAGACAGGCCAATCAGGCAGACTTCCATCCTTTGATTGAAACGTCCGAGGCCCAGCCTAAGCACACAGAGAGTCTCCTTGTATCACAAATGGACTGTGTGAATGGAAATGAGTCAATGGACAGCCTAGACTCTCAGAGCCTCAAGATAAGCAGCGAGGTTGAGAAAAGGACTCCTCAGAGCATGGCTGAGAGCTCTAATAAGCCAGAACAGGAAGAGCACAAAGACAACAATAAGAGCAACCCAACTCAGGAGCACCCTCCCCAGGATGGGAGAGCAGCAGTAACAGAAGATGTTGAGGAAGATCAAGATAAAGAAGGTATAAAGCTAGAGTTAATGATCCAGATGATTATTATTATTATTAGCACAATTGGTAAATTAAAACGTTTTTTTCTCCATCAATCTTAAGTATTTAAAAAAAAAATCCTTGAAAATGCAAATATACAGCAGTTTTTTCTTGGAGTAAATGTAACCTAATTAGCTTAGTGCTAGATATGCATACTAAAATAATGTTTTGCTGAGTTTTGTTAAAACTCAGAAGGGAGTTTTCAACTGAGAAGAGAGGGGTGTAAGTTCTCAGCTACTCGTTTTGGGCTCTTTATTTTACTTGCTAATCGTTTGATCTTTACAGTAGAGAGTTATGCAAGTTAACAAAATCTGTTCCTTTTTACACATTTGACAAAATTTGTTAATTTTTACACATCCAGTCAGTGCTTTGCCCACCACTTAATTATGATGATAAATTACCTTTTTGATTACCATCCAGCTATTCTGGTTTGCACTCAGTTTAGCTTTTAAAATAGAGAGGGCATGAATAATGCAACATTAGTAATACAGAATATAAAAATGCTATCCCCTGGCTTAGCACATAGTATATTTCAATGGAGAAACTCTAGGGGCTGGAAATAATGTGTACCATTGTAGACACTCCACACCTTCTGATATGTATCCTGAAATGTTTATGAAATGTCTATGAAATATTCACAATGTTGCCTGCCTGCCTTCCCCTTCCCATCTCAGCCATATTTTTTTCCTTCCTTTGGCACGAGCCATTATGCCCTTTCTAATGGTGTGTAGTGTTTGAGTCCGAGATAAGCCAGTGCTTTTATGGGTTTGAATACAGGCCTGTGCTTTGCCTTGTGATGAGTAGAGGCCAGCTGGAAGGCTAAGGTAATGGTGCTGCTAGAATATGGAGAAGCCATCAGAGGATGGCACGGTCAGAAAACAGAACACAAACAGAATGTGCCTCAAACAATAGACAACTCAGCTACTCCGCCCCCGCTCTCATTACAAGCTGAGCCAGGCCTTTTGTTTCCATCAAAGCGTTTCTTGAGCACTATTATAAGTGGACAGGAAAGAGGCCAGATGTGAAATATTGTGTCCTTAGGAGCTGCTAGTTGCTTTAAATAGATTTTCATCACAAGCTGTAGTATTGCATTAATCTTCTAGCCATGGCAGTTGGAATTTATTTTCTTTGAGCCGATCCAGTTTGTGCTTTTAGTGGTTCATCACAAAAACCAGAAGAGGTCTCAAATTTTGCTCACCCATTCATGTTAGGTTTTTGATTGCTATCACACTACATTAATTATTTATACCCTTTTTCCATCAATAAACCATTTATCTTTTCATAGGGAGTTCCAAAGCCAGGAAATGCAAGAACACCCTGTCAGAGCAGCTGAAGGGATCTGAAAGGATAGAAAAAGAGCCAAAACCAGTCTCTCCCCGTCCTCCAGTAGTGGTAGACCACCAGCGACTTTTGGTAAGTTTTTCTAAAAAGTGAGTTATTTTGCCCATTAGCCATGTATTAGTACCTGAAACTCTATGCCTGAAGGTCACTTTGCTTCTGGGCTCATGGTTTGGTATGTTTTCAGTATGGAAACCAAAGAAAACACAGGAGTAAATAATGTTAATGATGGCCTAATTGTATTTAGCTGGTTCAGTGTCATAGCTTACTGGGACACTCGAAGATAATGGAGCCATCATTACTGTTATTTGTAACATTTATTTTTATCCTACTACCATATAAGAATTAATAATCCAAATTGTGCCCTCAAAAATATTTAAAAAACAAATTATCAAAATAATATTTCTTGCAATGCAAGAAAAGCAGAAAGTGCCCACAGACTGTTGACTTGCACAAGAGAAAGTACACGAAGATAAAAATGTCTGTTGTAGACACTGTGGCTGATTTCAATGTAGAGGCACTTTAAACCCTTTTTATAGTGTTAACTCACTGTGTGCATATGGGTATATCTTTTTAAGTTTCTTTGAATATAAAATTATTATTTATTATTTATTTATTCAGTGTAAACCCTTTATCCTACGGTGGGACTGTGAAATAGAAGTTGGTTGCTCAAAGTGCATTCCTTAACCTGAAAACTGTGACTCTTCTTTTTGGAGTGCACAGTTTGATAGTGACAATTTATACGCAAATTCCCTCCAAAATTGGATTTGTGTTAGACCTAGATATTTTCAGAATTATGGTAGTTCAACTATCCATTGGCTTGTCAGTTGTCATTTTCTTTCATTACGGCAGCATTTGTTGACATGGTCATCATTTTTAATTAAACATGCACCCAGAAATCTGTGTCAGAGCTTGGAAAACACTGGCCTCAGGGGACCACTTTCAATGTTGCTCATACATGTTAAGAAAAACTCTCATTCTAGTGCTAAAACATTATCTAACTCCTTACACAACCCACCAAGCGTCTGGCTTCTTAAAACCCCATCCGTGCCCCATCACCATCTTGTTTGATTCTACACGGTCATCATTCTAATTCAGACCATGAAGGATCTAGCAGCTGGGGTGATTTTGCACCGACTGTTGGGACTGGAGATTTAACAGGTACTGTGAGCTGTATCAAAGCAATGATGTCCGGGAAGATGAACATTTTTAAGGGGAAAACATGGTCACACAAAATGTCCATGGTCATTTATTATGATTGTGATCACTTGTATTCAGTTATTTCAGCAGTTTGTTAGTCAGTGTTGATATGGTTCAACACTTGAAACATAAACCACATAAAACATTCTAACACATTCCAAAAATGAATAAACAAATGAAATAATGAAGTGAAATAAATATGTAGCTGTACTGAATAGTAAAGTCTCAATGTAATGGCTATAAAGAGAGGGTAGAAATTTTTCTGCAAATATAAACAGCCCCACATCCCACCAGTACATAACAAAATGTTGAAATATAGACTTATTGGCTGCAACAGAGCCAGCTGTGGCAAACTGTCACATTTTGCAACTGACTAATTAGACTGTGATTATGGAAAAGAGGAGCTGTAATCTAAAAATGTTACCAATATGCTTTTTTTTTTGTTTGTCTTTTTTGAGTTCATGCGGGTGCCTGTTTAAATGTTGTTGACAGTGTGGGTGAAGGTTTTTTGAGTGTTTTCTCCTCCCCTCTGTAAAAGAAACAGCTGTTTTCTGTGTTCTCTAGACTGGTCACTTACTGTTTCCTATGGACTGCTGAATCACTTTTTGCGTACAGATATTAATATTCAAAAGCAGCAACAAGCCTGTGTACGTCCCTCAGTTAGAATCATGCTAAAGATGGCATTGACGCTAATCATTCATGGTATCTTTTGTGTGAGCCAGCACAGGTAGCTAGACCCGTTCTCCCCCTTTTATTTGTTGGCAAACCCTCTGCACTGGATGCTGCTCATCTCAGAAACCTTATGCATTTGGCATTAATCCATCCCATTGTCATCCATTCTTTCATTAGCTTCCAAACATAAAAAATGTTAACAGAATTAGTATCTGGATAATTGGAAGTCAGGGTGCTATGCTAACTTTTTTTTCCCAAGGAGTACACAAAGAACAGTTTATTAACAAACAATTTATTACATACATATTTAGTGTGTGTGTGTGTGTGTGTGTGTGTACTCCTTCTCTTGTGTGCAATTTATTTTTGTACAGCCAAAAAGAGACAGGAAATGTGAAAGAGAGGGAGATGGGGAGAGGGGATGGGATGCAGCCGCGGGATGGATTCAAACCCGGGCGGCTGCAGTAAAGATTTTAGCTTTTACAAGAAAATGGTAATGGTGGTAACTGGTGAAAACCATTCGAGGACTATGGAGGTGAAGACCCTAGTATCTAAACTTTGACACATTGAAAACATCTTTTAAAACACTAATCATCACTGTGAGTAAAAATACTTAAACTCTACTGTGATTGGCACATTACGGCTTGTGGAATGTGAGACTAGTTTGTAAAATAGAACAAGGGGAACGTGTTGCTCTGAGGAGGCTGGCTAGAAGGAGCACATTCTGGCATCCTGGCTCTGGCTAAATCTACATCTGTACACTGCAGATGCACAATCCACAACCTGAGTAATTAATATAAATGTGTGTATTAGTATAATATTATAACATTAAATAAAATGTGTAATGTAATAATATACTATATAGCTTACCACTAGTATAATGCTAACCCTAACCCATTATTGACACCTTTTCAAAATCTTCAGAAACAATTGTATATAAAGCATGTGATGCTCCTTTAATTTGTAATTAAACTCACCTGTAGTAATTCTCAGTTGCTGGCAATATAAAGGTCACACCAGTTAAAATGGAAAGGTTCACTCAGCCTTTGTGTTGTGTGTACTACACAGAGCATGGAAAAAAGAAAGAAGAGGAAAGAAATTGAGAAGAGAGAGTCTGATGATTTGAGAACCTTAATTTTGGAAAAGCATTTACAAGCTCAAGGCTACAAGTCCATCTCTAGAGATCTTAATTTTCCTGTGTCCACCTTGTGCAACATTGTGAAGAAGTTTACAGCCCATGGCACTGTAGCTAATCTCCCTGGATGTGGACGAAAGAGAAAATTTGGTGGAAGATTGCAATGAAAAATTGTTAGAATAGTGGATAAAGAACCTTGATCAACTTTCAAACAAATTCAGGCTGAATGCGGACAAAGGGTACAACAGTGTCAGCTTGCACAATCCGACATCATCTGAATGAAAAAGGAGGACCCAAGAGGACCCCGCTGCTGCCACAGAAAAGTCAGATTAGAGTATGCCAAAACTTACCTGAGGAAGCCAAAATCCTTCTGGGAGAATGTCCTGTGGACAGATGAGACTAAAAAAAGAGCATTTCATCAGCACATCATGCTTCTGTTTTCAGAAAATGAGACCTTCAAAGAACAAAAAAATACAGTCAAACACGGTGAACATGGAGGTTCACTGATGTGTTAGGGTTGCTTTGCTGCTTCAGGCACTGGATTGCATTGCATTATAAAATCTTAAGCCCACCAGAGAATTCTGGGGACAGCAGTCATGAGTCTTACAGCAGGACAATGACCCAAAAATGGTTTAAGACAAAGCACTAAAGAGTTCTGAAGTGGCCAGCAATGAGTCCAGATCTAAACCTCATAGAGCAGCTGTGTGATCTCAAAACAGCAGATGGGAGAAGGAAGCCATCAAGTCTCAAAGACCTGGAGCAGTTGTCCAGAATTCCAGAAGAGGTGTAAGAAACGTAGTGATGGTTACAGGAGACGATCGATATGTTATTTTTTCCAAAGGGTGTGCTACCAAATATTAAGTTGAGGGTGCCAACAATTTTGTCCAGTCCATTTTTGGAGTTCTGTGTGAAATGTCTTTGATTTGGCTTTTTTCTCTGCTTTTTTGTGTTGTTCCAATGCAAACAAAAGAAATAAACATGACAACTCCAAAGCATTTGTAATTGCGACAGTTTTCTGGGAGAAGTAGTGTATGATGTCACAGACATGCAGGGGTGCCCATATTTTTGTCCATGACTGTTCCACCCTATGGTCATGCCACTGTCTCTATCCCCTTTTCATCTTTCAACTATCAATTTTTTAGCCCTGCTATTTGAACATGGCTGGAGCCAATTACAGTGGCAGACCATTTTTACGTCTCTCAATTAACAGGTGGTGTTCCTGCAACATTTGAAGGAAACATGACTCAAACATGAGCTTCTCCCTGCCTTACCAGATCTGCCAACTTGTCCCAGGATGTGTTCAAGTAACAGAGAGCATGTGAAGCAGCTCCGCTGTACTTTACACAGTCACGCTAGGGTCCCACCTAATACCCCAAGTGTAAATTGGAGCCTCGGCTCAGTGGGCTCCCCTGACAGCACTTCTCACTGATCGGGTGGGGGTTGCTTGGTTTTAGGCCCTCTGTAGTGTAATTGATATAAAAGAAGTGTTCTTATGACATGCGGTTACTTCTTTCCTCCATGCTCTGAAGTGACGTCCAGCTATCAAGCCATTATCTAGTGGCATGTCCCCTGGGCGTGATGGGGATGGTGGGGTATGTATCTTGTCTTGCCGAACCTGACTCCATCTTTCAAACTGATTGACAGGCTTTTTAGTTGGCCTGATCTTAGTGCTTCAACTTGCTGCCCCTACGAACAGCCACACACAGAACTAATCTGGAGGTTTATTTGTTAGTAGGGGAAGAAGGGAGATATCTTGAAGAAACAGATCGTGAAAAGAGGGGACTGTGAATAATTGCTTTTTCATCCCCGGCTTACGGAACAAATTGAATATCCAGCGCTCAGGATGAGAGTCACCATTTAAGCAGATATTTGCTGGCAGGGCTGGGACTGGCGTGCTGCCTGATGTGTATTAGGGCCCGCAGTGAGTGGTGTACTGTTCCTTCCCTCTTCCTTCAGTTGAATTCATTGATTGCAGAGGGCTCATTATTTCTGACTTTTAACTTGATAGAAAAGGTTGTGAAATCTCTCTGGAATGAAATGCCATCAGACTGTTATGAGTTTGTTCACAGAC